GGCATGCTTTTTTTTTTTTTTTGCAGAACTCCTGCTGGTGATAGATTTGAGTTTGAGTTTATCTGTGACACACACAGCTGGGAAACAATAAACTGAGGAGCTTTATATACCTCTGCCCTGTGAGGACTGACAGGGAAAGGAAGGGCTAACGCCTAAGCTCCCTGTGGATTAGTTTTTGAAGTGCAGAAAGCATTGTGAGACACCACGGTCACTGCACTTTCCTGTAGGCTGACTGCACAGGAGGTTGGGACTACTGCTGCATATACTGCTCTCTTACAACTCTTCCTCTAGCTTCTGCTTTGCTTCCAGCAGTCTTCTGTCCTCCCTGCACTTCACTTCTGCCTCTGACCAAGATCTCCAGGTAAGTCAGTAAAGATGGGAATTTCTGCCAAATTTTAACCCCCCCCACCACAGTTCCATCAAACTGTTTAATTTAGTTACTTGCTTCCTTCCCTTTAAAGGGAAGTGAGAAAAACAATACTGAAATTACTAGTCTGCCACCCAGAAACAAATTATTTCTAAAGCAGCAAGAAAAAAAATGATTTTGTGATTCGCCAGGAATCCCCTGATGTTAACAGGCATTTTTTAATTTTGCAAAGTCCCTTTGAAAAGAATTTTGCAAAGTCCTTTTGGAAAGGAAGTTTGCTAAAGAAATTCATTAACAATGTGTTTTACCAATTGAGGGAGAAAATGCATTTAAGACATGATAACAGAGCTCAACAGTTAGAATATCTAATGGGAAACTACTACATTATGTAAATGTGTATGTGTGCACGCGTGCATGTGCATGCAAGCACATCATATGTAACATACACACAAAACCCTATTGATCCAAGCTCATTTCAGATGGAATACCCTTTTTCTCTGAAGCTTGGTTACAAGACTCACTCTTTAACACTCTGGATCCCCTCCCCCTTATTTACCCAACAGATTTTAATTTCTCCCAAACTTTTATGAAGAGATTGTTTCTGTATATGCATCCACACATGCTGTATACCAGTTGCCTGAATACATGTAGATATAGGCACATGTCTAATTATGGAAAAAATCATTATATAAAAGTTCATATATAGTTATAAGATTTATGTATTTCTACTTATATAAAATCTAAAATGTACAGCTATAACGTATTTTAACTGCATATGTCATTTGATAGATTGTACTAGTTAATCTTTGTACTCACTGTAAATACAAGAAGTAATTGTTTATCTAATCAGCCCTGGCAGGTTTCAATATATTGAAAAGTAGGATCCTTTTTAAAGATCTTCATCAGCTTCCTTCAGAAAAAATACAATGAGAGTTGTTTTGGGCTCTAAAATGTTATATTCTCACTTAAATTTTAGCACCTGATATACTTGGTTGAGGGGCAAAAAATGCAGTTTTGTCCCAGTAGCTTTCTGGAGGAAAATTGCTAAAAAAAAAAAAAAAAAGTGTACATAACCTCTTTGGTAATATAAAGTATCTTAAGGCAAGTGGGGAAAAATTAAATTACTAAAAAATCTGAGTTCTGCTACTACCATTTGTTACTCATGTGAATTTTAAACCAATGCACCTTTACTGATTCCTGTTAAATGGTTCCAGATCTACACTACTGTGTACAAGAAGTGATCAGAACTTTAGACTTTAGTAGTTAGAACAGAATGCATGGGGAAATTGCCTCTGTTCTTGAGAGGCAATACTTTTTGTGGTATCTTTAATTAGAGCAACTGTATAGTTGGGAGAGAAGTTTGACAATCTTTAGGGTACAGGGTGCTTGAAAGGAGCATGTTGTAAGCATGATGCACCAGGAAATACATGGAGATCTGGAAAAGGGCACTTTGTGCCTGAAAACCTGTTCAATGTCTCCCAACTGTACAGCTGTTCTCTCCCAACTATACAGTTATTCCAATAAAAAATAACATTAAAAAAATCCCCCAAAAGCCCTTGCCTCTCATACATTTCCTGGATTGTTACAACTACAACACTCCCTGCCTCTATTCTCCATTCTTACATATGTAGAATATTTTCCTCTTTGGGGTTTGAAAATGTTATTTCAATCAAGCCAGTAATGAGTAGAAAGGTTTGATGATTCCTTTAAGGGGGATGTTTTTATTTCTCAGTTAGGAGATGACATGTTTACAGAAAAAGTTATGTTGTTTCCCAACCTGAAAAATTAATATTTTGAGCAAGATTTTAACCACTTAGCTTCCATTTAGAAAGGATCCAATTGAGAACCTTGACAATAACAATTTAATTTGTGGATGTCTGTAATGAATAAATTTGATTAGGTAGTAGTATAACAATGTAATGAAAGAAGCAGAGGACTAAAAGTTCAATTTTACAGTGTGGTAGAAAACATGCAGAATTATCTATCATGTGGTCAGCACTTCACACACAAAACTTCCACTGAGTCTAAAGTAAATTAAACATCCATATCTCTGATTCTCACAGGAGTACACCACATGAATAAAAATAGTTAGCTGCTTAATGTAAATGTCCTCAACAGATACTTTTGTTTACTTCGAAGGCGGACTGTTTTTGCCTTTAATTTTCTCTAGGATACACAATATAGATACTACTTACATTAAACTGTCCCTTGATCCAAAAATGTTCCTATTGAGTTTTGATTATCCACTTATAATTTGTCATGTTTTTTAAATTATGATGTTGCACCTTATATTATTGTAGTTTTGAGGAGGAAGAATAGCTATAGAGACTTCTTTGTGAATCCCTGAAATTTCTTTCTGGAATTTTATTGTGAATACATATTTCAATTTTGATTTAGGTTTTTCTTTCCTGTTTCTTTGCTTTATGGGAGATTTATCCAAGAAAGAACTATTTAAACAGACCTTAAATTATCTGACACTAACCTTCTACTCTTAGGAAATTATTAACAGCCATAAACCCTGTTTCTAAGCACTGTTATTTTCTCAAAGCAAATGCCTGCATGCATAGCCTTCTATATGAAATATTTTTCATTAAAATCTCTCCATTACTGAGTAAAGTATTAAATAGGTCGTCTGTTACTGCATATCTACCTCAGTGATAGAAAAAAAGTCCTTTAAATAAATGGAAATGAAAAGCCCACCCACCATATGTACAAATTATTTTACTCCTGTTACTGTCTCATCCTTTCTAGTACTATATTAGAGATGAACAAATTTGTCTAAGAAATATGGATAACACATTTTAAATTGCAAGATATATTGCCTGTAATAGCAAAGTAATATTTTGAGCATTAAATTCAAACACGAAGTAGATTTTGTTTACAACAACTTCTTCTCTCTTTTTTTTTTAAATCAAAAACCCCAAAAATATTTCATCAAATTTGAAACGTTCAATAGGATTTGGTGTGGAGAGAATATGAATATCTACCCCAATAGCATAATTTCAGCCTGTATTTAAAGTTTGTGTAGCTTTACTCTGAAAAGTGACTTAACAGGAACAGCTTTGCAACAACCTTTGTGTACTCTCTCTCAGTGAATCCAGATTGAATTTTTCCAGTTTCTGACTGGAAAATATCATTTTCTATCAGCAAGTCCTGCACATTCAGGATGTTGTGTTTTTTTTTGCCTACATTTTTTCATTCTAGTTGCTAGTGGATATCTCTTTACCAAAGCATCTTTTTAAATGGGACTGACTCCAGCTTTGCTGGCTGTCTTCGCAGAGAGATCAGTGTCTAAATGGCCCTGGAAAATGAGCTGCTCATATCCCTAGTGAAGGCTTCCCTGGAACTGGAAGGAGTGAGGGAAGGTGTTCTCCTGCTATCACATTGTGCCTGTTGCGTGCATAAATGCAACAGTCTTCAGGTTTTTCAGACTTGCATATTTCACTACATGCTTTATGAATTCACACACAATTTAATCTACTCTAAGATAAATTAAATTAAAAATTAGAGAGATTATTCTGTCATGATTCTATTTTGAATACATTTTATTCAGAAATTGGTTCTGGTTGAACCTGAAAAATTAATGAAAGAGAATATTAGCTGGGGACTAAAATTGTAAAATATCACAGGATATACTTAGTGTCCTAGGCAACTATAACTTTCTGGGAGATACTCCCAAGCTCTATTTGGTGCCATATTTTTAGTGTGTAAAGGCCCTCTTACATGCGTGAAATTTTACCCATACCTTTATTTCTAAATGCAATGGTAGTCATAAAGTTAGAGATGTCTTTTGGGGCAACAGTCATGTGTCAAGCACAAATGTAAATGTTCATGTGATTTTAAAGCATGTGCATTGTTCACTGAAGAATGTGTGTCCTTTTTTACTCTGTTGGAGAGGAATTTTTGTTGCATGCTTGTTTTACTGGGGCATTGGTTCCTCAGTTCCTGGAAATGGTTCATAATTTGTTTTCTTTGATTTTTTTAAGGAGTAATTTTGCCTGAATACTGGAATAATCTCACTAAAACACATCTACCTGCTAGTGTCCCCATGCCAGTATTGTTTAAATATAACACCTGTAAGATTTCTTGATGTCAATTAGAGTAAAATAGGTGCAGAAAAGTCAATTTTATATTGAAAGGACAGATTTAATTTGGGCTCTATTTCATGAGACTTGCAATACTAGGGGAGAAAATCCATCCCGAACAGGACAGTTGGGGGTTACTTTTACATAAAGGAATTCCTGAATGGTGGGAGCTGGGTTAGTTGTCTTGTAACGGTAGGAGATGTAACCTGAGTGCACTGGTCTTAAAAGCATTTCCAGTTGTTTTCCATGTTTTTCTTTTCCTGATGACCAGTGCTTTGTAACCATATGCAGTTTCAAAACACTGTATGATAAACAATAATACCTTCAGTTTTTTAAAACCTTTTTTGTTGTCTCAAGAACACTACAGACATGGAGAATATGTCTTCATCTTCAAAATGTGACCCAAGAGAAATATAAATACGTTCACAATTATGTAGAAGTCTGAACCGACAGATCATGGCAAACCCAGAGCTCTTTGGATAAAACTTAAAGCAAGCTGAATTTTCTGTCTGTTTTCAGTAAAAATTACAAAGCATCCAGTGTGCTATCAAAACTTCAGCAGTGCAAATGTGTGGCTTATCTCTAATAGGCAACCCCCTGGGTTTATCATCATCTACAGGCAGGCCATTGGTTTAAACGGTAGTTTTGAGAGGTCATACACACAATACACTTTGTCCATTGGTTCCCTGGAAAGCAGCAACAAATGTTTTTTTGTGGAATTCAGAGGAAGTTATGTTTAACATGAACTGTTAACAGCCCCAAGAATAAGCTATCTATGGGAATCCACTGATTAAAAAAATAAGCCTCTCTCTTCGCTTGGCACAAAGGACACATCCAGGGTACACATTAAACTTGGACTCTGAGGGGTTTGCCGTGGTGGCAGCTGGAACCTGGAAGGGGCTGCTGCTGTTGTCACCACTGCCACCGCCTGAGCTGCTTAGAAAGGTGTGGGGCAGGCCAGGGGCTCTCATCTCTTATGGGAGGGCTCAGCCCCCTCCCCACCCAGCCACCCTGTATTTCAAACCCTGGACATGTCCCTACTTCCTTATAAGAACAGAGTAGATAGATGTGGAACATGATGGAGGGAATGGTCTAAATTTAGGTCTACTACTCTGAAAGTGTCCTTTGATTGCAGAAGGGTTACAGTAAGCATACACTTTGTAATTTCAGCCTTAAAGGGAGGATGCCACAGCTGTCCATAATGAAACAAGAGCAGAACAAATCTGGGGGCAGACTCTGTGTTGCATTACGACTCCTTTATGCTTTAAAGCAACTCAGATAGAACCAGGCCTTGTGTACTACCCCCGTCTATGAGACTGCAATGGCAGAAAGACATTTTCCTATCCTAGTGGTGCTCAGCCTTTCGCCCCATGGGCCATATCCTGAAAAGAGTCACCCTCTGGATCCTGCCTCGCATCAGCACCAAATCAGCACCCTACTGCCCAGATCATGCTTCTTACTGACCCCACGTGCCCAGACTAGGCCCCCTGGCACCTAATCTAATGTGCAGGGCCACACTATCCACCCCCGGGCTTTCCACAAGTCTGGAGATTTGGTATCTGAGGAGCTGCAATTAACTCTGCCACTGGTCCATGGCTGCCAAATTTTCAGACCTGTCGGGGCCCCCTGGACTAGATGACATGGCTCCGCAGGCCAGATCTGCCTGAGGACCAGGGGTTAACCCTGTGCTATTGCAGGACATGGTAGGGAATGCTCCAGGAGTATATCAGGAGACTAGGAAGCCATTGTGTGTGTGCTAGTCTCAGCTGTGGAATGATCCCTTGATGGCTGCTACAGTCAAGCAAAATTTGGGCTGCCATTTGGTGTCTCGTGCTTACCCTGGGTACCAAGTTAACCACTTGTGCTGTTGTAAACTTGAGATTCTGGCCTCTGGTAGCAATAATTATTCCCTTCTAATTACTGTATTTCTCATGGGAGAAGTCTTAATCATAGACCTACTTCATGTATGCATAACTTGTGGCAGGTTCTGTCTCACTTCCTTGAACAAAGCCTTTTTGCACTTTGTACAATTAATCAGGAACCTTTGCAACAACAGGGGTAGGTTGAGCTTATGCTAAACACTTGATTAAAGAAGGAAAACTAGAATATATTGTAAGCAGACTTACTGGGCCTGCTTCTTAGCAAAAGTGAATATTTAAATTTGCATTATATATTTATATTTAACATGAGTCTATTATTTCATTCATTTATGACCTGGAGAAAATGAATGCCATTTTATACCAGGCATCAAATTAATTCAGTGGGAAAAAGGATTTAACTACTAAGCAAAAGCAATTTTCAATAATGGCATCTCTTGATGTTAACGTACGTTCAATGTTGGTATATTTTCCTGAACTCCCAGGTCCTGAAGTGATGTGACTACGTGAAATACTCAGTCTTCTAGAAAAACACTGTTTCTAGCTTTTACTATTACAGAGAAAAGGTTGAAAGATGCTGGAAATTCAAATCTGCATGCTTCCCACATTGGCCACTCAAACTTAATTAACTCTTTTTACCAATGTGGGCTTTAATCTCCATGATTCAGTTCCCAATATGTAAAATAAAAGTAACTGTATCTCACTCAAAGGGATCCTGTGAAGACAAATTCATTAATGTTTGTAATGCACTAATATCCTGTGATGAGCTCTGCGCAAAAAGTCGTATGAGAACAATAATTCTGTAGTCAGTGAAGGATCTGAATGTGCTCAATAAGTACTCCCTGGGGTCACATATTTAACAATGAGGATACTATGAAATATTGAATACGTGTTCATTTGGTAAGAACTATTAAATCTGTGTATTAAATTAAGCTGTAGTTCTCTGGAAAAAATAGCATATGTAACTGAAAATTATATTGTATGGCATATGTACAGAGTGGCTGGATTAAGATTACATAAAAACCCTTCATTTGACCATCTCTTTACTATTAATTGCCTGATTTTACATCTTAATGTTTTTTCAGTGTAATTTTTTTAAATGTAGTGTGTTCTCCATATGTGGATTTTCTTATTTTATAAGCTTCTGTTTAAAGGACAAGTAGAAAACTGCAGAAGGGCTCTTAATGAAAGTGTTGAGCAAGGTGCTTTCTGAGTAATCCAGGTTGCTGGAGAGTATTTATGCAGTAAATTTGCTAAAAGGATACCTCTGCTCTATGAACATGTATACCAGTTTAATTAACTTTTACGTTTACAGAGGTGGAACCCTTACAAAATGACAGAAAATCAGTCACACATCAGTATCATGATGTCAGACTCAAGTATAAATGGCATCCCTAACAGAAAACAATCTTCTCAAGACCCATCAGTCAGTGGAGGAACCACTGTGACCTTTCACAACATCTGCTACAGAGTGAAGGTGAAGAGTGGATTTGTTTGTTGCCGCAAAACAATCAATAAAGAAATTTTGAGAGATATCAAGTAGGTATTTCAACTTCTCTGTAGTAGAGCATATGTACATTTTATTTCCTCTCAATAGCAAGGTTTTTAATATCACCCAGAGAAGTCACCAAGCCATGAAGAACAAAGCAATAATAACATGCAGAATTCAGTGGGCATTTCTAAAATATAGTTGTGTGAAATTAAACTCTCAAGTCCATATTTAGTAACTTAAGAGACAGGCCTGATTTCCAGATTGCTAGCATCTATGAAGAAGGGCTGGCAGAATAAGGATTATTTAATTGAGAGAAAAAAGGAGGATATGATAAGAGTCTTCAAATACCAAAATAGTTGTTAAAAAAAATGTAAACAACAAAATGTTTTGTCTCCACAAGTGGTGGGACAAAGAAACAATCGCCTTAAATTGCAGTAGGGGAGGTATTAAGTTAAACTGGATAAATTTTGGAACACATTACCTAGGGAGTTTGGAGAAAGTCTATCAGTGGAAGTTTTCAGGTATAGGTGTTAGGGATGCACTGATAGAGATTTTTGGGGCTGATCCTAATAGCTGATTTTTATGGAAGCATTATTGGCTGATACCAATCTGATTTCCGATATGCAGCTCTTCAGCTTGAAAAGCTGCATCCAGGTGGTAAGTCTGGTGTGGTGGAAGGGAACATCGAGGGGATGAGGAGGTGGAGGGATGGGGCAGATCAAGGCGCCTGTGGGGAGGGAGGGAATGGGGCTCTAGCTGGGGCAGGTGACCAGCTGGGGTGGAGAGGGGTGTGGGACAGACCCATAAGTGGCTCATCCAGGGGGTGAGGGAGGGTGTCCCCCAGATCTGCGTGGTGCAGGGTGGGCTGCAGCTGCAGCCTGGGGCTGGGGTGGGCACGGGACAGAGGCGTGGCTTGTCGAGGGGGTGTGGGAAGGGACGGGTGGGTGGCTCCCATTGTTGTGCATGGATCATCCAGTGCTCGTCTGGCTGCTCCTGATGCTGCTCCCGCTACTCATCTGGGAAGGCATGGGGGCACATGCTTTCCCACTGTGCCCTCTCAGATGAGCCAAGCTTCCATCCCACACCCACCCCAGCCCTGGCTGGGCAGCCCCTGCTCCAGCCCCAGCCCCAGCCCCAGCCCCA